CAGGGTGGTGGTGGCGGCACTGTAGGCAGCAGGATGTATATCGCACGCCGTTTCGGCTAGTTTTAACTGCAATCCAAACAGTAGGCTAACTGGATAGCCCAACAGCTCGCAGAATCCCCAAGTGTCTATTACGATGTGTGGATTAGGTAAAAAAGGCGTGAATACGTTGAAACCAACAAACTTTAGGGATGTTATTCGCCTGAACCCCACGGCCACAATATTTGCTCCCCCAGGTGTCCTCCCAGTTCAGGGTCTAAGAATGCAGTAATATGACGGAATATTAATCGCAAATATGGGGGCATTCATAATTTTGATTAGAATTTCAATCTAGCAGTATAGTGTCTTTCCTTATCAGCTCCTAGTTTGGAATTTAAATCTGTCAGAGAACATAACATTCTAGGCTCCGAACTATCGCACTCCACTAATTTTTCTTCGCATCTTCTTTCACGAGCTCGATACGACCGAACTATCAGGCTGGAGAGAGGAGTATGAACACTACTGAGGCAGTGATGGTGGTGGGGGAGGAGGAGGAGGAGGAGGAGGAGGAGGAGGAGGAGGGGGACGTTAGCACGTTCGTTCCAAATGGCTTTGTTCAAATTACCGACACAAAATTATGGGCCATCTTGGGATGAACATATTAGTTCGGAGGCATTACCCATAAAGATGGCCGGGAATGGAATTACCCTTTTTGCCATATTTTTTATCGTCGGCCAGTTACAGTTTAAACCCAACTTGAGAAGATTAAGCCTGAAGCCAATAGAAGCGAAGAGAGGAGTCCCAGGAAGCAGTCTTTAAGATGGGGGGCACGATTGCTGGGACAAGAGCTTTATTAGCATGCCGTTTCGGATTCCTGCTCGAATCCATCATCAGAGACAAAAAAGCAGAAACGGGTGGTTCATGCACAGGGGGCTGCAGTATTTAAAGGATGCAGTTGTCATGCTACCGTGTACCTATGAATATTCACGGCTCCACCTTCATAAGGGATCGTTGCGCGTGGTGTGATGGCTGTTTGATGGCCGACATTCGCGTCGTTAATTGCTGCAATTTCATCACGTGCGTTGGATGTTGGTGTGATGATTGCTCGACCATCTGACACACCGACCCTGGTTTTGGGACAAGCGTTCACCTGCGCGTCAGTGCGTCAGATGGTCGAGCGATCATCACACCAACATCCAACGCACGTGATGAAATTGCAGCCATTAACGACGCGAATGTCGGCCATCAAACAGCCATCACATCACGTGCAACGATCCCTGATGAAGGGGGATCCGTGAATATTCATAGGTACACGGTGGCATGACGACTGCATCCTATAAATACTGCAGCCCCTTGTGCATGAAGCACCCGTATTTGCTTTTGCCTATGATGATGGGTTCGAGAAGGAATCCGAAACGTCAGGCTAATAAAGCTCTTGTCCCAGCGATCGTGTCTCCTTCTTTAGGCCTGAATCCGAGTCCGATGACTTTATCAGACGAGCCAAGGGTCCATCTGTTGCGAACATGAGCACTCAAGGTCATGATTGGCTAGGGTTAAGACAAATGGGGCAGAACTGGCCACGCAAGTCTCCCTTTGTTTCATAGGAAAACTTATCGGTTACTGATTACTCGTTGGTAAACGACTGCCTGGACTGGACTTCAAAAACACAAGGGGATGTATGTGCTCCATCCTGCAACTAGGCTGTTATCGGTAAGTGTCAGTCGAATGCGACTTTGGACGTATTAATATCCCAGTAGTAGCTCAGTCCCCGTGCAGAAAACAAAAGCTGATGGGAAGCCCCTTTCCAGAGAGTCCCATGGCACTTTGGAGACGACCTCCCTGTTGAATTTGTGGCCACTGGAAACAGCTGCAGAGGAGAAGACGTTCGTGACCGCCCTCCAGCAGTGAACGGTCGAGACATGGAGTAGCGGTGCTGGGTCGGATCTCATTTCGTAGCCGTACCTGCAGTAGACAAGCCGCAGCCTGACCCCTAACCCCTAACCCTAATCGCGAACCCTAACACCTAGTCCTTAACCCCCTAACCCTAGCCCCTAACAGGTACGGCTACGAAATGAGGTCTTGCCCGGTGCTGCAACTAGGCAAACCAGAGGCTGGCGCCAGCAGCGTGGCACGCGCACTCTACTGGGCATTGGCGGTGTGTGTACAGTTTGAAACAAGCGCCGATGGGTGAGCAGTAGAGGATGTATGCATAGACGCGCGAGTGGCTGACCTCATCGGCCCGACAGCACTCGAGTCCTCATGCGCGCGCGCGTGCAGCCGCTAGCTACGCCGTTAACTACGATCGCTGCTGCTGCTGCTGCCGCCAGAAATGCTGGTAGTGGCGACAGCACATGATGTGCC